CAAAAAATATTCTTGGTTTCGAGAAATTTTGGAATAGAAAAGAGAAAAATGATAATACAGAACGTTTTGAAAAGAAACTATGTAGGTTAGACAAAACCTGAGAACTGATCATCAATGTCTAAAACATTCGAAAATCTAATATATATATAATTATGTCACGGTGGGAATTTCCAGTAACTATTTAGGGCAACAATAGTAGCACGGCTGGATTGTTAGTGTGTTGATGGCGATGGTTGAAATGTCTTAAAAATTTTTGTCCATCGGAGACGACTCAGTCGTTCTTCTTACACCTCTAATAAAGATATTTCATTGTTTTAGAAATCATGTTAATCTTATCCAGACATCAATAGTATTTTTTGATAAAAGAAAAAGAATTATGATTTTGCTCAGTCAGTTTTTTTTGTCTATCATATTTTTAAAAAAATTCGAATAGAAAAAAAAAAGACAATACAATGATTGCTATAATCAACTTGACATTTAATAATCAAACGTGATTTAGTTCTTTAATTTTTTTTGTTTTATTGTTATTTAATAAATTAGTGATACAATTTGTGTTTCTACCCAAGTTCGTTGTGATGTTGGCGTTTGACATTATTCAATCTATTTAAAAAATATATAAACACAATATGAACTCTCGTTATATTTTAATTGAATTTACTTGACATTATTTTTTTCCATTGATTTAATCGAACTAATAATTCATTAGCATGTTGTACTTCTTGTTCAATATCAGTAAACATAAGTAGAATAGTTATTGATATTTGTGCTTGTTGTCTACATAGAGAAACAAAACACGATAAAAATAGATGTTTTAAATCAAAAAAGAATATTGATTTACACTGTATAAAATAATCGATTATCAATACCATCACTAGTAATATAATATCGATCACGATCTTATACAATTTTATGATGATGTTTATCGTGGCATTCATCTAATAAAATCTAACTAAGATCTTTTGAATTTATTGTTATTGATAAATATCGAAAGTATTCTCTAACAAGAATAATTTAACTAAAATCCTATTTTTTCTCTAGTTTTTTTTTTAAATATTCATACCCTTTTAATTGAACATCATTACGTTCAATTGCATTAAATACAGTTCAAACAATAAAATCTTTTAATTGTTCATTATTAAAAAATCTTATAAATTCATCAACAAATTTTTGTCGTTTATCCAATATAATTTTACCATGTTATTGAATAACAAGTATTTTTAAATTTTGTTCTTCATAAACTATAATAGAAAAAAAAACACGAACAATCATTCTTTACGTTAATTCTACTTATTAAATTTCTATTTTACCTTCAATACCAAATGTTAAATTTTCTCTATTTGAATTTTCATATGGATCATAAGCGAATTACCAGTTTCACACATGTCCAATTAAGTATATGAACATTTTTCATTTTTTAAGTATTAATCAAAATATCCACTGCCAATTGTCCAACATAACAATGACTAAAACATCAACAATTCGAAAAACAAAAAAAAAACAATAACAAATCATAATATTCTTACTAAAATTAATGTATATCATTTCCAATCTCGTTTTTATGTTCCAGTTATTTTTAAATCTAAAAGACAAATTTAATTGGATGATTGCTAAACAAAAATTCAATTTGTATTTTATACTTTATTTTATATCAAATAAA